TGTTGTTCAGCATCTTAGCTGTGGAGGGCAGTGTCACTGGCCCTCACATGTGGGATCCGAACCGGGGCCCTCTGGCATCCCAAGCGAGTTCTCAACCATTGCGCCACTCGGCCGGCCCTTGACAGGCATTTTGAAAAGAGAGATTTGCTAAGAGAGACCAGTTAGGGCACCTGGTATGTATGCAACCTGCAATCAGACCGTTAAAAGCTATGGCAAAGAGACCACAGAGATTTCAAAGCCTGTATCTCCCCTGTCCAGGGTACTCTGATTAGTCTCTCCTGGCATGATCACATTCTACAGGATACCACTTGGGGAGAGAGGGCAGATCAGAAATAGTCTCCAACCTGTGGTCTGCTCAAGATTTCAGACTAAGCTTCAGAAGAAGCACAGACTTTATTTATTATTTGATGATCCTACTTCCTAACAGTTAAACTTCTCAAATCCAGCTTATCTCTGCCTCTACATTTTCTTTCTGTTAATTCGCAAGAAAAGACCGAGGTGCTGAATTAGTGTCTGACATGTTACTAAAAACTTGAAAATCTTTCAGAGGATGCTAAAAAGATATTCAGAGGAGAGGATACTCTATTTTTTAAAAGCAATACTACTACTGTATTATGGGTGGACCTTTTCTAATTGCGCATATATATATATATATATATATATATATATATAAATTTAAACAAATAGCCATGTTGTTTGTCTTCTTAGACTATAGAGAAGCTGGTGGAGGTAGGAGTATGGGCTGGTAATCTGGCCAGAAGCTCCTGGAACTGGCCAAGAAAGTTTTAGTCAATGCCTATTTTTCCAATAAATGTCTTGTAGCAAGCAGAGGTATTCACAATCATGTCATTGATTTTTAATGCTGCTCTTACACTATTGCTATAGGCATTCTACCTGTTGGTTATTGTTGCAGATGCTGTTTCTCTTGTTGTTTCTCTTGTTTCTCTTGCATTTTTCAAGATAAACCTGATTTAACTTTTCTTCACTTTCTCATATCTCCTCTAAGTTTATTCAAAAGACCCAAGCAAGTATCTGCTAATATCTGACTAAATAAAAGCTACTAGAAAGCCAGTAAGGGCTGTTAAGTCCATTTTTCTTTGCCTTTATTCTCAAGGGGCCAACTTTGCACTTTGTTGACAGCTATCAGAGCAATTCATGCTTCATTGAAGAGCCATCAAAAATTTCCAAATCGCCAGCTCATTAGCACAAAATGGCGCTTCAGGAATCTCTTTCTCTCCATGTCCCAACTGTGCTTTTTAAAAAGTGTTCCATCCTTGATGGACAACTCTGAAGTAATAAAGACTGCAGGGAAATGAGAGATGGATGTTAATTAGTCTACTTTGAAGGAATGAAACATGGATGAAGGCAAAGTACAATGGGGCAAAGACCTGGGATTATCTGTGTTAGCAGAGGGATACGGCATGACTTTGCTAGCTGTTCACAGGTCACTGAATGTCTGAGCTCCAAGGGCCCTCTCATCTAGGTAGATCCCAACATTTTACCAGTAAGGGTAAAAGAGGCCAAAAGAGGGGAAAGGGACTTGCCCAAGGTCAATCAGCTCTTCCCAAATTTTCAGACACCAGCTGGCTTTTGGTTATACAACCTTTATGCTATCAATGTTCAATTACTTGGGCCACTCACTGCTAGCCCAGTGATCACTTGGACAATCCAAAATGACATGGAAGTTAACCATCATTTACACTGAGCTTTGTGATATATGTTTATACTGATATTCCAATACACCTGGGTCCAGTCTGAGAATTCACAACCCTTCAAATGACACAAGAAAGGTACCCTGAAGGTCTAATTCAGGAATAGCTGGAAAGTTGACCAGCCTTACTGAATGGACTACATCAAATGATGCTATACAGTCCCTAAAGCAGGGCATGTTATTCTCAATAAGTTTGTTGATTCACACCTTTCTTGGGGCCCAGCCAGATTTATGAGTGGGTTGGTTGGAAGGGGAAGACAAAACCTTTTGTAGAAGAATATATATATCTTCCTCCCTCCCTCCCTTCTTTCCTTCTATCCTTCTTCCCTCCCTCCCTTCTTTCCTTTCCTTCCTTCCCATTCCTTTTCCTGGCTAGAAAAATGAACAGTGGCTTTATCTTCTATATAAACAAATGTGTGGTGGAGAACTGGCTCTCAGGAGGCAAAACAATAAATGGAAGACATGTTGGATCCCAGAAATCTATGTGGATGTGGGGAGGAGAAAGACTAGTAAACAATATTTTTTAAAAGCATAAAAAAATCAGGAATAAGAAGGAATCTGTTGTATAGCTGAGTAAATGCCCTGTGTCTGGGAAAGAACTAGTTTGGGGTATAGTCCAAGGGATCTTAAAACAAATAGAGTTTCATTTCCTGCTCTGGACCTGTCTGGACTCCGGGATTGTGCTGGGTGCCCATAATTTACTGCTTTGTTGTCTGCAAATCATCACACTTGTGCTAAAGTAGCATTGTTACACTCATCATTTCTGTTCTGAGGAGGATGCTGCCGGTGACTTGAGAAAGGGCATGAAACAGCAAAAGGGGTATATATAGTGGGCCTGAGGCTGTAGTCTAAGAAAGAGTTCCTGCAAGGACTCAGATAATGGTGGCCAAAGTGGCCAGTAGGGAATGCAAAAACTGCCTGAGCTATTGCTGCAGCAATAATTAAGCATTTTAGTTTAAAAGGTTCCCCCCTTTCATTTTCTGGCCTTGAATAAACAGAGCTCTTGTTGATGTAACAAAGTGCTTAATTAATCCGAAGTGGTACTTAATATCAATACATATTGAAGAGGAGATTTGCTGTGGATAATTGAGTTGTATGAATTAAAACAAAACAAAAAAAACCATGGGTAATGTGAATTAAGACGAATATACACCAACAGGAAAAATCTATTAACATTCATTCATTAGACTCCTGTTTGTAGTTCTTTGTTAGCCTAAGGAAGGAAGCCCTTTCAAATGGCTGATTCCTGTTGAAAATCCTGCCTGATGCTGAGGGACTTCCATGGATGCCAAAGGAATGAGTCATTCAAATAGAACTTCTGAAACTCAAGTACAGCACTGTTTTTTTCTTTTTCCTTCTCTTTTTTTCTCTTCTGTTTTTTTTTTCAGCAGGCAGCAGTGACTGTGAAGTAATAATGATAATGACAATGGAAATAAGAATGTGATTCTAATTAATTTGCTGAGAGTTGTTCTCCATTTACCAATATTGACTTGTTTTGTCTTGAGTGGTGGGCCAGGTACTGGAACAAAGATACCTTTGAATGAATATATATATATATATATATGTATATATATATATATATATATATATATGTGTGTGTGTGTGTGTGTGTGTGTGTGTGTGTGTGTATATATATATATATATATATATATATTCATTCAAAGCCACTTGGCTAACCTATAATTTATCAAACAAAGGTTAATTTAAAAAAAAAACTGTTGGGTTAGCAGCAATAAATTTAATAACATTCTGTATTTTAACTCAGAGTTTCAATTTATTTGATGGGGTTTTTAAAACCCTGAATTAACAATTTCCTCTGCCCTCAGGAGGTCTCATCTGCCAAATTGTATATGAGCTGGCCAACCTGAAGCTCAGCAATATTCTAACTTCCCAGATGTGGGGTAGTTTGGGGGTATGCTATTAAAGACAGAGAAAGATTGGAAGAAATGTAGGAGTAAGTGTAAAGACACCTGCAGTGAAGACATGCCCTTATTTGCCCCACATGGAATCTGCCTTTTCCTGAGAATTGTGTGGTTTAATCATCCTTACCTCCCTTGCTCCTGGGAGGAAAAAAACAAACAAATGGACAAACACGCACACAAACATCTCTTCCTGATTCCATCAGTGGGCTGGACCTGTTTACACTTGACCATCTGCGTGGACATATAACCTTTAGAAAGTAACCCACCCCCTGAGGCTGGGAGCTGGTTGTGCTTTGTTCATTTCTCTATCTCTGGCACTTAGCATGTTGTCCTGTGCATACTAGAAATTCACTATAAACTTTAGAAATATATTAATGGATAAATGAGATGACTCCTTCTACCATGGATGGAATTGATGTAGAACTCACCTTTGGGGTAAAAGGAATGTTACATATAAAAGTAGCCATAAGCAAGGACCCTTGAGGGCCTACCCAGTTGCTATTATTTCTGCCTTTGCTTTCAATGCCTCCCAGTCTGACTACCTCATTGCCAAGGTTGCTCTGGTCAATGGAAATTCTTTAGGCTAGGGTAGAACAGGGAACACCCAGGTTTCCAGCTTTTGGCAAATGCCTACTATATGCCATTCACTGGAAGCACTGTGCTAGGCACTTGTTGAAGTGGCATAGATAAATGATCAGTTACTTTGTTTGTGTATAGTTTGTATCTTTTGAATTTGCAATTCCACTCATAGAATATTGAGTTGGAAGCCACCTTCAGAGTCAACCTTGCTATAATAATCAGAGCTCACATTTATTGAGGGCTTACTGCTCCCAGACACTTTATATACTAACAACCCTGTGAGGTGGGTACTCTTGTTATTTATATTTCATGTACGAAGTCATTGAGACACAGAGATGTTAGATGACTTGCACAGGGTCACACAGCTAGGAAGTACTAGAGCCAAGATTCAAACTCAAGTTTGTCACAGTTAAAAGTCTGCCCAAAGATAGGAAAGCACTTGCCAAAGATAAATTTGCTGGAGCCTAGCTCTTCTGGCTTTAATTTAGGTACACATTTTGCAGTGCCATGGTGCTACTTTAGCCCACACTGTGGGGTTACTTCCAAGCATCATTTTCTTATTTTGAAGTGCTTGTCTCCCTAGGTGGACAGTGGATTCTTCCAGGGCAAAGATTGTATTAATATTATTACTGTGTTGCCTCCTTTCTCAAGGGCTTACCCAAGCTTTACCTTCAATAAATAATGGCCTGTGATCAGCTTCTTAGCTGCTGCCTGGAAGCCATGCTGGAGCTTTCTGGAGCCATTGTCCTCCTTCCCCACTTGTGGCTCAGAGGTTAGGAGGAGCCAGGGAGTAGAATTTTGGGTAAGGAGTTGCCTCACCACCTGATTTCTCTTTTGTTTTCTGTAACAGATTGAAGATGGGGGCAAGGCAGCCTTGTCCCAGAAGATGAGGACTGGTGATGAGCTGGTGAATATCAATGGCACTCCATTGTATGGCTCCCGCCAAGAGGCCCTCATCCTCATCAAAGGTTCCTTCCGGATCCTCAAGCTGATCGTCAGGAGGTAAGGTACAGGGAGATTTGCTGTAAGGTGCAGGGGCTGCTAATACCACTTGGTTGTTAGTAAAGCTTCAATAGAGTCATGTCTCTATCAATATCGAAAAGAGGTGTTTCCCATTAGCAGAATTCTGCAGACAGCCAGAATGCATAGGAGAAAGGAACTTTAGTTCAAATCCTTGCACTGTCACATACTACCCATGTCACCTTGGATAAATGTATCTTACTTCTGCAAGATTCACACTCCTTATTTGCTATTTAGAGAGTGAAAATGACTTAATACACACCAAGGACCTACTTAACCCAGAATTTTTCTGTCTCCTCCTTCATAACAGGCTGCCACTGCTCAACCAAACAGATTTAAAGAGACCCTACTACCAACTATGGCAGGCATTCTGGAGGCTGTGGCAAACTCTAAGATAGAAACCCTGCCCTTGAGGATTTTACAGTCTAGAGGGAGAGAAATGACACACATGTGGCAAACTAATTAACAGTACATTTTTGAAGAAAACAATTAAAGATATTTTTCAGGGCGAAGGGTGATTGTCAAATGGATTGTTCAGATAGACATTGCTATTAGAGTTCAAGAGAAAGAGAGCGCTTCAGAAGAGATTGATAGGGTATGACTTCATAGAGGAGGAGGAATTTGAGCTAAGGCGTGGGTAGAATTTGACAAATAAACCATCAAGAGGAGAAAGACATTCCAGACAAGTGGAGTGACATAAGCAGAAGGAAGGTAAGGGCATTTTGGGACATAGTCATTCTGCTGCCCCCAAACATCTGCCTACTGGTGAACTTTTTTTTCTTAAATATTTTTTTATTAGAGAATCGGGGAAGGGGAACAGACAAGTTGCTGTCCTTTTGTTCTTCAGTCTAGTTGTGGAGGATGTCGCTTCACCGGCCCATGTTGGTATTATCATTGCGCTCTTCCCGGGTGAGGCAGTCACTCGCTAGCCATTGGATGGCCGTTCACGACGGCTCATGGCAGCTCACGCCGGCTGCCGGCTGCCGGCTGCTCACACTGGTTGCCAGCCACTCACGGTAGCTCACGGCAGCCCACTGCAGCTCCACTGCAGCCTACGCCGACGCCAGCGACTCACTGCAGCCCAGCTCCAGGTCGAGGTGATGTTCATCATCTTAGCTGTAGAGGGTGCAGCGTCACTGGCCCTCATGTGGGATCGGAACCGGGGCCCTACTGCTCAGAGCTGGTGTCCCAAGCCAGCTCTTAACCAACGCGCCACTCAGCCAGCGCCTGCTGAACTTTTCATACAACTGCTGAAACTTTGCTCTGGACTACTGGAGCTTATACTTCTTCCTCTCTATTAGTTTGTCTCCTTTATCCTATATGCATGACTACGTTTGTCCATCTTAATTATTTTTATTAGGAAAAAAAATTTAACGTGTCTTTCTGCAATTATACTTCCCCCTCTGGCTACTGGCCCGTATTCCTCCTTTTGCTTAGACTCAGTCTCTCAAAAGGAGCCTATACTATCTCCACTTCTTCACCTACCATTTACGTAACTTTCCACCTACTGCAGTACGAATTTGACCCTCAGAATGCCACTGAAACTATCCTGTCAAAAGCTACATATTACCTCCTAATTGTCAAAGTCAATGATTATTTTCAGTCTTTCTCATATATGACTTATATATGGCATTTGACCTTGTTGCTATGGATTATGCTCTCCTTTGTGAAGCTCTCTTTTCTTGCTTTCATGATACCCATTTTCTTGTTCTTTTCCTACCTCTCTCTTCATTAAAAAAACAAAAACAGGTTTCTTTACTGCCTGCTCTTCTGACCATCCCTTAAATGTTTCCCCTAGTTCTACCCCTTCTGACTGCATTAATATACCATGGAAAATCTCACCCAGTTTCAGAGCTTCAATTATTATCTACATGTGGATGAATGTATCTCTTGTGCCCCAGACTTATATAGCCAACTTCCTATTTGACATTTATACTTAGATGTCTCAGAAGCATTTCAAACACAACATGCTCAAAACCTAACATGCCATCTTCTTCTCCTCCCAAGATTCTTATCTCAATGACTGGGACCACCATGCCCTCAGTCAACCAAGCCAGAAACACAGAAGCCATCTTTAATTCTTCCATTGTTATCATGCTTTACATTCAGATGATTTATTCTTTTTTGAAAAATTTTTAATTGTTTCAAGTGTATAAAACAACATAATGATTAGACTTTTATACATCCTCCTACCCTCCTAGTCTCCTACCCCTCTGACATCATATGTAGCTGTTACTATACCACTGACTATATTCCCTATGCTATACTTTACATCCTGTGACCATATAATTCTATATATAATTATATATATATATATATATATATATATATATATATA